AGTAAACTCAGAAGTTGAAGGTATATACCCTGAACTTCCCATTAAACTTTACTCTACAAGCACGGAAACAAAGCAAACCAAATAACATTGGCATAGAGAATTGCAACAACAAACTCCAGTAATGTTTCCAGTCTTGTACCTTCCCTCGCTCATATCTATTGCCATATGCCCATCTAGGAGCACATCTCCATGCCTAGTGACCCTGTCTGCATCTGTAAAATGGCTCAGGTAATACTGTCTGGACCTCCAGCCAACTGTCATGGCACAGCTCATATGCATATGGCTGTTCTTTCTTGTCCCCAAGAGAAGGTGGTACACTTCTACGTCTGTGCTAACCCCAAATTGTGCCCAGGCACTGTCTGTGAGAATGAGAGCAGGCTAGCAACAAAAACCGTGCTTGGGACCATGCTAAATAATTAGCTGCACGGCCTCCTGTATGGCAATATTTATGTTAATCAAGGGCCTTACTAATATTGTTGTTACTATTACCATAATACTATGTTCCACCTCAGTGCAGAGCTGAGGATGTAATGGCATTTTGTAAAAAAACTAAACGAGCCTCACAGTATCCATTCAGAGAAGGATGTGGGTTTTATACAATTTACAAACTTGGAGCCTGTGAGATCAAAAGACTATACAATTTACTTCTTTCCAATGAAATTGCAGTAAAAAGGCAAGAATAACGGATGTGACTCCTGATTCTTATTGCTCATATCTAGCTGCTGGACTACTATCTATGATGTTAAATTATTCACCGTTTCTCACAGGGAAGGCAAGAATGCACTCACAAGAAAAGCTGTGTGCCAGAAAAAGGGTTATCCAAGTATTCACACGCTCTTTCAAAAGAGTTAGCTAACTGACAGAAATATGCTGCTGTAACACATTTTCACAAGTAGGTAGCAATTCTTCTCTACATCCCAGGGCTGGAATCCTGTGTGGGGAAAACTGAACTGCTCAATATAATGTAAAAGACAGGCCTCATTAACTCTTGGACATCTTCTCATTTCTTGGTCATAAATCCTATTACCTTGTATTACAAACTGCCATAAAACTCACAGATAAAAGATAATTTATGCTCAGTGTACAGAAGCTAATGTTTCTGTACTCCTGAGAAGCACACAACCAGAAAATGAGAAAGTATGTATGTGAAACCTTAAGTCATTCATATTGAGCATGGCTAGCATGATAAACATGACTCTAAGGGCCTAATGCTCTTCAACCAGGGTAGACTCTAATTGATATTACCAAAATTTCAAGCATAAAAGGTATGGACTGTTGCATAAAATATCCTGCTTATAAAGACTGATTATTCCTTATTAAGAATTCAGGCTTTCCTCCTTCCCTCCACTACAGAAAGAAATACAATAGCTATTCAAAACTTTTTTTTTTTTTTACTTTTTTTTTTTTTTTTAATTCCAATCATCATATTAGAAAATGCTTCAGAGCAAGGACCACCTCCTGGAATTCTTACACAGTCTCCTTATTTCTGACTCCCATGCTAATTAGTGTTGCATGACACAAAAACTAACAACCCTTGGAGTTGACAAAATCAAAGGCAGTTCAATTTCTTATTTGCTTTTTCTCTGAAGCAATTTAAAGTCTTTGGACTTTGGCACTGATTTTAACTGTGTTGGTTATCTGCTCAAAAGAATATTTTGCTTTACTGAAGACTGAGCAAAAGATGCATTAAATTTAGGATGTTTGTCATTAGTTTTCCTTTCCCATTCAGAGGAGAGAAAAATCTTTCACTGCCAACTTACAACTTCTGTAGTTACACTATGTTCTCATGCTTGGACCCTTCCATAGCTGCACCTCATTTCATGCCTGCTCTCTTTTCTTAAATACTTGTTCAGTAATTTGACCTATTTGGGAATTCATTTATCTAAATTTAGATACCTACAGTGTATACCTAGATCCCAGCCTACCACCCAATTTCTCCATATAGTCCACAGAGACAGGTATTTATGGGGTGTAATTCTTCCCATCCTTTTTCTCTTCTTCACCTCTCAGCACAGATCATCCTCACAGGTCAGAAATGAATATAAAAGAGTTTACTTCCTTGTAGTTTTCTTCACTTTCCATGCCAAAACATTTTTATCAATACATTTCAAAAACTTGCACTGTCAGTCCGTCTATTTCCCAAGAGATACCCCAGTACTCAAAATGCCAATTACTCTTACATTCAGTGCTTGGATAATTTTATTGGCTAATGAAAACACGCTTTGTTTAGCTGGTCCTCCTTGCTTGGTAGTCTGCAGTGGATTCCAAATCAGGCATTGTCTTTGTTGACTTCCTCTAGCACCCTGAAGACTTTTAGCAAGCCTATAAGCCTGTTTCCTACAACACTGTGGACCCTTTGCGAGTGTGTTAAATATTAGTTTATTTCTTCCACTGTACCCCTCTCTATCAACATTGTAATAATGTGAAATAACCCTCAGAGCAATTACTTAATAGATTGTATGGTGTACGTACTTAGATATCAACTCACGCTGTCCTCCTCGTAGTTTCTGCATTAGTAACTACAAGTTCAGCAGCTTGACTTGTTACTCCCCTTTGTATCCTTCCTAGGGATGTTATGGGATTACCAGTTTATCTGCTCTATCCAAATATTTCATCATCTGCCTAGGTACACATGATAAGTAAACTCTCCTCCCTAGGAGAAGGGAAGACTGAGGGGGGATCTTATTAATGCTTCTAAATAATTAAAGGGACAGTGCCAAGGGGATGGGAACAGACTTTTTTCAGTGGTGCCCAGTGATAGGACAAGAGGTAACAGGCACAAATTTGAACATAGAAATTCCAATAGAACCAATACAAGTCTCCCGCTATACTGAATGGAGGACTAATGTTATTTTGAAGCAAAAACATGCTTATATTTTGCTCATATATTTTATCCAAGGAATCCAATAAAGATCAGATTCTTCTTCCCCAAGAGAGAAAGGTTTCAGATCTACATTTTATAGAAAAAGCAACATGCTCTTAACTTTATCATTTGCATTAGCATTTGAATCTCAAAACCTTGCTTCATTTGTTGCACAGTTTCCAGACTTGCATTTCAAAAAGTCAGTGGGTCTCCCACTGTGTTCAACTCCCTCCTACCTTGATTTTAAATTACAAAGGGGAGAGGGGAAAAAGAGAGAATGTCATGATTGTGGCTGTTTACGAGAGCAAAATATCATGCTGAACTCCATTAAAAAAACCCCACAAAACTACTTGCAAGCTTAGGATCCACTTTTCTTTCTGTGTATAAACTACTTACTTGATTTTTATCTAAACTATGCAGGATTAATGTTATTATCTGGAGGTACCATGACAGTTGACTGAAGATGCTGTCAGTGACAAGTTTATACCAACACTGAAAAGCAATTTTGTGTCAAAGTTAGCATTAAGATTGTTTAAACAGCCTGCCCCTATATCTGCCCTTTATTTCTGAATGCTAGAAACAGCCTGAAGTTACACAAGTCAGTGACTGGCAATGCAGACTGACAGCGAGGAATGGCAGAAAAATTAATATCCTGTGGAACTCTCCCCATCAATAAAAAAGTATTAAATGCTTCTTGTACGGCATTATTAAACCCAAAACATAACGACATTTTGAGCAAGCCCAAACAATTAGCAACCTCCCATTTCTATTTAAATGCACAGATTTTTTTTTTTTTTTTTTCCCAGTTCCAAAGGGTTCAATTATTCATTGAAGATTCTTCTGAAAGCAACCTTAGGCATGGCATTTTAAAGCCACTTATGGAAAAGATGAATGAAAAGAATTAAAAGTCTTTCCAGTCCAAGTAAGTGATTTGTAAGCTAAACTGGGAATTCTCTGTCTTATTTCAGCTTTTCAATATGTTCTTAAAAATATCCTAAAATTAATTTACAGTGGTCAGTGAAGTACTGCACCAACAGATCAATCACAAGCAAGTTACTCCTCACTTTCAGATTTTAACCACAGTTATCTTCTTTCCCTCTCCCTCTGCTGCCTCTGTCCATTTAGCTGTGCAACTAATGATCAGTCTCATTCTTTGTCATACTGGCAAAGAGCTCCTGCACCTACTATCTTTCCCGCAGACTCAGGGCTTCAAAGCTGTTAACACAGCATCTGCCCCTGTGGATTTAAATCTATAATCTCATAGAACCTTATTAATGCTTTTCTCAAATTACAATGAAGCACGTGTGGTGTAGGGTTTTGTCAAGTTTATCTGTGAATGTTATTTATTTTAATGAAATAAGCTTTCCAAGATAAAATGGGAAAGTTAGTTAAGCTTCTAGAAACGCTGACATCAGGAAAAGATATTTCCAAACAAATAAATGAATCACTGTTAGAGAAGACTCTCTGATGCTTAGATTTGCCTTTAATTTAAATCTTAGAAGCAGAAGCCCAGCAAGATCTTTTGTGTGTGTTGTTTTATGAATCAATAAATGGAATGATGGACCTGAAAAACCACAAAAATAACACACCTTAAATAAATTCCCTCGCTGATCCTAGCTGGATTCCCATCATAATGAACTGCACCACTCAGACCACATAAGAGCTCTGCCTGACGTGTTTGTCAGGAACTCCCTCGTATCTTCATCTTAAAGCTTTCTTTTGTTTCTCTTACTGCAGACATAGTTATTTCTACTCAACATGCAGAAGGGCTGTGTGCTAAATTTAAACTTACTGGAATCTAATTAAAAAGTTTTAAAACTTTTTTTTTTTTCATTTTCAATAAAAAACTATATTTACACAAATTCAGTTTTCATACCTTCTGGATTTCTGCGTTCCTCCCTGTCTTCAAACTAGAACACTCTCCTTTTAAACAAATCTATCCCGAA